TGTGTGCGTGTGCGTGCGCGTGCGTGCGTGTGTGCGTGTGCGTGCGCGTGCGTGCGTGCGCGTGCGTGCGTGCGTGTGTTTGTGTATGTGTGTGTGCGTGTGTCTGCGTGCGTTCGACTGTTACATTACACACACGTTTGTTCATCAAATATCGACTAATATCGCGTGGATGAGTTGATCGTAGACACTAATTGTTCGTGTCACGTCAGCCCCGGATAAATGCTGCCTATCAGTTACCATCGTCAACGTCGGCGTCGGCGTCTCTAGTCGCTGAACTCGTTTCACCCCGCTCACGCTGTGAGTTGAGGGTCTATACTGGTAACCAGGGAGCCGGCAGCGCTGTAATGATTCGTAATGCTCCGTGTTAACTATCAGGCGAAGTCGTTTGTTTTTCGGTTCGCACTATATCAAGCAGACTGAAGCACGTCTAGTTGTAAATAAGTGAAAAGTGTCTGTAAAGTGTTCACGCCGTAGAAATATCATGTGGACGGTTTTATGTCTTCGAGGGTGTCCAGATCACCGAATGAGCTGCTACCGATGGCGCGGTAGCCATGTTGGATAGTCTTGAGTAACGCACGAATAAATTAGCATAATACAAATGATGCCCTTGAAGTGCAAAGAGAAACATTGTGGGACATTTCGAGATAGTATCGCGTTTGGTTGAAGTACAGAACGATTTTACTTGCGTAAACATATTTTATTGTTACTCCTTATAGTCTCGTGTACGTTTTAAAGTAAACTTGTTACGTTATAATCATCAGTTGTCATTTTTAATCGGATGAACTTACTATTAACGTATATAAATTTTTTATTTGCCATCTAGTTCTTGCCTGTCTCATCTATTCATTATTTTGCCCGTCACTTCGTCTATTCTAGCACTCCCCATCGCGTTAAGCACACAAACCAGCCAAGTGGCTTCCCCCCAATTCTATACCAAGTAAACACTTAATTTCTACCAGCCACACATTGATAGATCTGTCCATGTCACGTTCTTCAAAGCAGGTGAACAAGGAGCGAATCGGATTGAATTGAATGGGAACATATTGGTCTCCTATTATGTCCGCTTGCAATAGTGGCGCCCCGCCCTAAGGTGCTCGATTGCATGCACGAAAATAGGCCACAGACGGAAACGCACACGCGCTAATATCATATAAGCGCGGCAATTGTGAAGTTAAAGAGGGTGCAATGCAGCATACGCGCGCGGTGGACGTATACGTGCTACCTACTTCCACACTCGACCAAACCAGCGTATATTGCGGCGTGTATCCGTTATTGTTTACTATAGATGCACGTGGTGTTTTTCCGCACTTTTGCCAACCCCCCTCCCCCCGCGCGCTCCAGTTTTTTCCCCGTTCTCGCCGAGGTTTATTTCAATGTAGATCATCACACTGCTGTTTCCTTCCTTCCCGTATATACGTGTCTGTAGCGAGTACATGTTCTGCTTGCATCTATGACAAATACGACATACGCATATACGCTCTCCTATGACACTATTTGTCATAGGAAGATTCTTCCTATGACAAATATT